TTAAGAACAGTATCTACCTAGAACTGAAAAGAGTTAGCAGAGGATTAGTTTAATACATGATTACACTTGTACCATTCAGAATATAATAATACATCCCTTCTTTGAAGAATTCCAAACTGCTTTTCTGCAGTCAGGCAAGCAATCTGTTCACATGACAACAGAAGAGATCTCCAAATGTAATACAAACACTAGTACAAATAGCCACCGCATCTGAACTCTACCAAGAATAGAACTGAACACAAGTAGGGGCAGTTTTACCTAAAGACTAAAGGTACCTTTTAGTGCAAGAGGAATGCTGGTCTACAGCATAAGTGCAGATAAATGCACTTGCACATAGCAGACTACTACTCACATTTTCAACCGCAGATCATAGTGAACACTACTTGGGATATTCACATTAAAAGGGTCAATACTAATTGGCTATTGATACTAGCAATTCCTTTTTCAGCAGCAGGGACTCACTAAGCATCAGCAAGAACCTCCTCACACACTGAAAAAGCACCAACTGCTCTAAATCACAAGTGGCTTCTACAGTACCTATTTACAAGCCAGGAAAGCAATGCACTATGCTTTCATTTGCAACTTAGAGCTGAAATTAAAGAGTAATCCAGACTGTGCAGAGAACTTCGTCACCAGTAAGCATCCTGCAGACACTGATGGGACAGTTTAGGACTACAGATAAACAACAGCCTGTTTAACCACAGGACTTGGCGTGCTACTAGAAGCCTTGTTACAGTCTTCAGTGCTAAATTCCTAGTGGTGGTACTTCTGCCTTATGAAATGAGAAATTCCTTCTCACCAGTTTGCTTGAGTTTCCAGACCTCATTCAGCTTAAAAGTGAAAATTGCAGCCTCCTTGCTCATTATCTTTTCTAGCAAAATTTAACTTTTGCCTGTACGGAAGAAAAGTCTCTGAACAGAGGATTTTCTGGATATCAGAATGCATCTTTTGGGACCTCCCTAATAGATCAAGCCACCAAATTCTGCCCTGATGAGAACCTTTTCAACAAGACTTATGCTTTTAATGGATCTTGAATCCATATGAGTAGATTTTGCCCTTGACTGCTGCTTCTGCCCCTGACATCCCCCTCAAGTCACACTCAGGCTGAAATTGGAGTCCTGATTCAGATGTAAATCAGACTTGCACCAGAATCTATTACCAGGCCTTGAATATAAGAATATTACATAGAGCAATGGTTACAATGGCAAATGCAATGTACTTAGAAAATTTGGAGACAATTGCAAATGTACTTAAAATTATCTCAGCACTTTTGTAAAGTATAAGATAAAGACTTTTGAGTCACCTCCCCCACATTATAAATCAAACTTAGTAATAAAGAGCTATGGTTTAAACAATCAGGCAAACTCAGGTAGTAAAAAAAAAACACCAAACCACAAAACACACCTCACACTTCAAGTCAAAACCACCAGCCAAGCTGGCACTTCTGCTAAAGAGCTATTTTCACACTGTGCTGATCTGCTGTGTAACAAGTGTACAAACTACCATAATCACTCACACTGAACCAAGCCAACAGTAGAAGAGTTAGAGGTTGGAAACATTAATGATCCACTACCATTTTGTGTTTCACTGCTGAATTAGAAGGAAAAGCCAGTACTTTAAGTACAAAGAAAGCCTTTTCCCACAGCACACTGGAAGCAAGGGGAAAAGAAAAATGCTGGTTGGGGTCCCTGTAGAAACCTGACTATCTCACACTGTCTGTAACCAGGGGTGTCTTAGGTTTATGAAGACTGTTAGTAGACTTCAATCCCCAAATGTAGAATGCCTGAGAGTAGGTTATAATTATTGCCTTTAAGTGGCATAGAGCTGTGTACAGAGTGGCTGGCAGTTTTCAGAACATAAATGTTTCATTTCTTACTGAACTTAATTTTGAAGTACAAAAATGCCCCTATTAAACAGATAAATATTTAAGTTATGTATATTAACAAATCAAAACAGGTACTAGTTAGCTTTCATAAAAGCAAACATATTTAATATCACAACTACAGCTGTGTTGGACAAAGTAATTATATTGTTCCATTTTTACATATTTCAAAGCTTCTAAAATGCTTCAGCTGAAAATGGAACATAATTTACCTTTTAATATAAAGGTCCAAAGAGTTACACATACACAAAGTTTTTTCAAACTGAACACAGTAGGGATAAAAGCAGCTTCTAATGCAGGTAGAAGAGACATGTTCCTACAGAAGGAATTGCTGCTGCAGCAGTGTAATAAAGAATGGTGACAGCCATATATATGCACATGTAAAGGACCAAGCTAAATCCAGCCTACAACACAAAGTTTTACAGCACTAGGTTTTGAAATAGTTTGTGACAAAGTTTGAAGATTAAAAAAAACTAAGCCATTGCTCTACAAGTTCTCATAATCTCACTTATTTACACCAGAAGGCCTGGGGAAAGAAAAAGAAAATAGAGAACAGTTCTTCCTTCTACATCTTCACACTCAAACTTTAAGACTTCTGGAAGTATCAGAGCCTCACCCCATCTTGCCATCCACTTAGCTTTTACAATAGCACTATATATACTATTTAGAAGTGGTATTAGGGAATTACCAATTTTGCTTAACTTGTGCAAAATTTTAAAAAGTGATAAGTAACAATGTTTTTTTTCCTTTTGCTCCCCACAAACAGACATAGGAATTCACTTTTAACTCCCTGCAAGAAAGTTAAAAAGCTCAAGATGCTTAGAACACCTTAAACAAAAAGCCATACCACCGACCTACCCTCCCCAACCCTCTGCACCTCCATTTCTTGCTGTATTTTTCTTAGCTTTGAGCAAGCTATTCCACGCTACCCCTTAATTTGGAAGACTTCCTATGAACATCCACAAGTTCCCACTGTTTTCAGAGAATCCTTAATGACTACCAAAAAAAACTACAGTCAGAAGTCACATGATTTACAACACTGTTTTATTATCATCTCCTTCAGTTTAATTTTTCATAAGCCCTTATTGTACAGGTGCTTACCCATTTACACAGCACCTTGCGCTATGGTACACTGCTGCTTCCTATGGAGACAAAAAGTCTTCAAATACAACGGCACTGAGAAATCCAGAAGCTGGACACAGTAAGAAAGTCCAAGAACAATACAGAACTGCAGTTCCCCAAGAGAAACTCTAATATACATAGACAAGTGAGTAAATAAACCACCACTCATACTCCACACAAGGCACCCTTACTCAGCTATTACAAGCTCAAGTCACCTTTGCCTTCATTCCCACTGGGCTGAGGGAAGAAAGCTAATCCAGAGGATGGAGAGAACACAGCCAAAGCCTATCACCCTTTTAAAAGTTAGAGATCAAAGCTTTCTTACTGAGCAGGAGCAAGTTATTATAAAGTGAACTTAATTTCTAAATGACACTAAGGAGCTAACATTCCTAATAAGGCAATGCAAACACCTCTACTTTCCCATCACGCTACCTGCATTTTGGCCTATCCCTCACACACCAGTATTCCTCATGACTCAAGCTGCCCTTTTCAGGGGGCAAAGCTGCAAAAAAAGCTATTGAAAAAAAACTTGCAGCTACTAGGAAATGGCTTCCAGACAGCGAGCTGGACACAACAGCTTGCTCAGGTATTGGCAACAGGGCTATCAGGAACAAGTTCTTGGTGGCGGTCTCACACACCACTTTTTTTATAAGATTAAGCCAGATGAGAACAGAATCCTTCAGGAAAACTTAAACTACAGATTCTGCCAACCCTCCCTTCCCCACTTTTCTTTCTGTGAAGCAGGAAAAGCACAAGTAGCCTATCTAGAGAAAATAGCCAAACTCAGCTCATAATTAGTCAAGGAAAAAAAAAAAATGAAGTGAGAAAACATCCAATGTTGCTACCCACATAGAAAAAGCAAAACACTAAGAAAATCTGTCATTTTAACTGCTCCTAAACCATAGATTTTCCTAGACAAATATATAAGTCAAAGTTGAGGAGAAAATCCTGTATAAATAAGTTGCTGCACTACCCAGAACATCAGCATCCTTCCAGAGGATATTCTTAGAATTGCCCTCGATAACACACAATCATCATTTCAGCAGGATATAAGGTCCCTCTCTTTTCATTAAGGCACTCATTGTGTAAACTGTTCTTTAAACAATAACCCAAACATCTGCATTAACAAACAGAAGACTGCTAAATAACACTCCTCCTTAGTCATAACAGGAGCCATCTGTTCACCTAGCTAACCCAGGGCAAGTGTGGCAAGCACTGCCACAACTTATGTTATGCATCCTTATACTCCATGTTTCAGTGCACATTATTCATGTTCCTAAACTGCAGTAACAGCAATAATCATACCAACAGAAGTCTTAAACACACATGCCACAATGGAAGGCTCCAAATGCCAAAGAAAATTCCCTTTGGTCTTCAATTAAAGAACAAAAGCGGACCATAGCCTTGTATGCATGGGGATGTGAGTTTGTAAACTCTGTAGTTATTCTTGTCCCATTAAACTTACTTTTTCATTTTTTCTTTCCTATACTTTTTTCTTTTACACTTAGTCTAATTATTCTTACAACTGTATGCTGCTACTTTTCAAGAGAAAACTCCACAGAGTTTATACAGCCAGTTCTATCCAAATCTCACAATAGATTTTCATGGGTTAACCTTTGTGTCCAAGAGTACTGGATTAGGTCTCGTTATTCCAAAATTCAGTGGCCTTACTAGAGCTGCAAGTGAAGACCTTTTCATGTGTCTCACCCATGCAGCTCTATGAGCTCCTGGCTCTCACTACTGTTGATACGAGAAGCTTACTCCTCGCTGCTGCTGGATCCCTCCTTGCTGCCTCTCCCCTGTACTGCTATCCAGACCCTGGCACCCACTCCGGCCAGCAAACCCCACTGCCTCGGCAGAAGCAGAACTTACTGTGTTGAAACCAGGTCTGGGCAGGGACAGGAGACAGGGAGAGGGCCCAGAGCCCTCCCTGCCCACAGCTGCGGGGTGTGCAGGCTGCCGCCGGGAAGGGGAGAAGCGGGGGACCGCTCCGTACCTGACCCAGTTGTCGCGGAACTTGCTCTGCTGGGGCTGGTTCAAGTAAATGGTGCGGGCTGGTGCCTCGTCCAGATCCGCCGAGGACGTGGCTCCGGACATCTCATCATCCGCCTTCTTATAGCCCGAGGGGGAACAGACAGGTCCTGCAAGGAGAGCGCAGAGGAGAGGCGGTCAGTGGGGTGCTGCACGCGCCGGAGCCGGGCTGGCAGCTCCCGGGGCCGCGACAGCTCCCGGCGGGGCGGCGCCG